ATACAACATTGAGAGTTTGGCTATGCAATTTTTCTTTCTTATTCTTACTATTTCGCTTAAATGGTTGCATAATTTGATGCAATAGAATTATGAAGTGCTTTTTGTTATCTCTATGAGAGATGAACTATACGAGAAGTGAAGAGAGATAAGAAGAGAGTGTGATAAGAGATGTTTGAACAACCTACTCATTTTTATAGTGAATTTTTTGGTGTAAGATGGCTACGAGATTTTGGGCTAATGTCATATTTTTCACATTACATCCTGATGTTCTTTCTTCGTCACAACTTTTATTTTTCTCATATTTTTAGTTGTGTGGTTTACTTCCCAATAAAATCTTCAGCTTATGATGTGACGCTATAAACACCCTAATTATCATAATTTGTGTGATAATTAATAGATAAACATTCATCCATTTAAAATCAATATTTTCTTCTTTTTTGCCAAACTTCTGACGCAAAATATCAACCTAATTGATGATTTATAACAATTTACTAAAAAATGAATGGGAACAAATGATTGAATTAATCATTTAAATTGAGGATCAAAATTCATTAATATATAGATTTTTGTAATTTTGGCTAATTCTAAAAACAAATTATATGTATTAAAATATGAAATTATTATGAATAAAATATTTTTTTAGTTATTATAAAAAGTAACATCTTAGCATAATTTTTTTTTAAATAATAAAAAATAGTGATCAAACATAAATAAAAAATAGTGATCAAACATAATTATGATTGCTATCTGAAAATAAAGCAGTTTGAAACTGTCCAAAATATATCCTAAATTATTAAATTGAATGGCTCAATATACTTTTTAATTTTTCTTATTTTATAATTTTAAAATAAAATATTTACATAAAATATTGTTGCATTCTGGAATATTCGCGGCGGTAGAGAAATATATAGTTTAACGTCTTAGCATTGTACGAAGATCCAGCACACAATCAGATAAGAGAGATAGTGTATCGTTCATAAGAGACACAAGAGTTTTTACGTGGAAACCCCTGAAAAGGGGGAAAAACCACGGGGCTTGTCCAAGTTTGAATGAATCCACTTGCATTTGCAGTTGATTACAAATGAGGCCATTCCTTGGGAGTTTAACGTCTTAGCATTGTACGAAGATCCAGCACACAATCAGATAAGAGAGATAGTGTATCGTTCATAAGAGACACAAGAGTTTTTACGTGGAAACCCCTGAAAAGGGGGAAAAACCACGGGGCTTGTCCAAGTTTGAATGAATCCACTTGCATTTGCACTTGTCCAAGTTTGACTTAAATGAGGCCATTACGTGGAAACACCTGACACCCGAACTTCTATCGTACTGTTGTTATTTGTAATCTGATCGCCCTCAGAGGCGAATCAGCCAATTGTAACCGACTTATATTCTAGTGGAACCATTTTCAACTAGGCTAGGCCTCGTGGTTTTTCCCTTTTCAAGGGTTTTCCACGTAAAAAATCTTGTGTTCTCTGTGTGTGAGCTGGATATCCATGCAAAGCTAGGACGTATAATTAAAACTCTATCGCTGCATATATTCAAGCCCGCAACAAATATAATTATCATAGAACTAAAATTTGAAAAATTATCAATAAATGTGTCATAATATCATAGACACTGCTAGGGTAGTTTTTTAATAAACTTTTTTGTCTATTTAGAACTAGTGTAATTGAGAATAAAATTTAAGAAAATAAATAAATAATATATATACTGATTAAGTTAAATTTTATTAGATTTATTTTAATATTAATATTTTAAGAAAAAACAGATTATATTAAAATTAAAATTAATTAAGTAATTTTAAAAATATGCTACCAAGGTTTTAAAAACAGGAGCGGACCTGTCAGTTCAACCGGTTAAACATCCAACCGGACAACTGATCGATTTGGTCTTTTGATATTATAACTACATTTTCTTAACCAGAAGAAGGCCCTTGAAATCGACGGTCGAATCATGCGACAAGTGAACCGGTCCCTATTTTTTCAAAATCGGGATCTTGTTACAAAGCCCTTTCTTCCCCAATTCGATGTCTATCCTATCATATATCTTCTTCGATCTCTCGATCCAAACTCTAACAGTCAAGGGATTTCTTCTTCTTATCAAACCTTAAACCTAGAGCAATATTTTCGTTGCAGGTTGGTATTCATGGCGTTGAATCTATGAAAAAGCAAACCAGTATGTCCTCTTTTACCCCCTTCACATCTAGTCTCAATGGATGCTTCTTCTATAGGCACTATATTAATTTGCTTTGTTATGTAGGTTGCATCATTCGAATGTTGAATCTAAACCATCAGCCGAATCCCGATGACACCACAAGCTGGAACATTCGAGAAATGCTTGAAAATTTGATGCAAGATAAAAATGTTGCGATAATGTCAGATAAAAGGTGTGGAAATTCCTTGAATTCAGCCATGCATGATGCTCAAGAAGCAGATCAATGCACCCAAGGTGTTTGTGCAAATGTCTCTTTAATTTTTATAAAAATTATTTAGTTAGATTGTCATATTATTATGTGTCTAAATTCTTAGAATTATGAGACTTTGGGTTAGATTGTTATATTATGATGTTAATTTTATTAATTTTTAATAATACTATTATTTATTACGTAATCTAATTCGACTCTAATTGATATTAGATCTAATTTTCATAGTCTTTCATGCTACTATAATATAATTTATTGAAATGATGTATTTTGAAGTTTAAAGAAAAAAACATAGATTCTTTAATTCCCCCAAATGCTGGCGAGTCCGTGCATGAGTGCTTCGCTTGTCAATGCTCTCCACAATCTTCCTCCGACACAAAAGTGAGGGAAAGAGCATCTATGATTTACTTTGGCCTCAATTTTCTTATATTTGTTACTTTGCCAATACTCAAACTGTAGAATATTTTTCTTTATTGAACTTTCTTAGCCCAACATTCTACCGTTCTGTTTTTGCCTATTCGACCACTGTTCAATAGAAATTTGTTGCGTCATATGTGCCGAAGTGTGTATTAAATGACTGGATCAGAGTCAAATAGATCAATAATGAGGTTCATTAAAAAAAAAAATATATAATAATAACTTCTAAGAAATTTTAATCCAAAGCCAAGCGTATTAAATTTCAAAAAAATTGAAGTTTTTGGTTTTATTTGGGACGTTTTATTATTGTTTCTTAAAACAGCTTTATAGTACAAATATTAAAATTTATGTACTATAAAGCTATTCTAAAAAACAGTAAAAAAGTCATCCTAAACAAAGACTTAGCCATTTTGTTTGAAATTCAATTGAGGAGTCCATTGTATACAGTTAATGCATATAAAAAAGTATGTGTATAGATGCGAGCACGACACACTTGTATACTAATATGAGTATATGAGTGTGTATTCATGCGAGCGTGAATACATAGTTGTGTATTCATGCCTACACTATAAACAACTCTACGTACATTACGCGTATGCAAAGTTGTAACTGTTATTAAAGACAATTTTGAAATTATTATAGAAAAAAACACTCTCTAAACTCATTGCTAAAAATTTGTGATCTTTATTGTTCATAAAATCCAAATGTAAAACGGTTTAATTGGCCTAATATCCTCATTCTTATTTTAGTATATTCAAATTAATTATTATTTGTCAAATATAATGACAAACATTTTTATCTAAATATATGATAATCATATGATCAATTGAAATTCATCATCAAAATGAGAAATATTCATAATTTGCATATACTATAATTTTACATAACACAAGATTAAAAAATACATATATATAATTTCCCAAGAAAAATATTTGCTAGCAAATAAAGTATTGCTTGTTAATAATCAACATCAAAAGAATTATTTCAAATAGCATTTATAAAAAATAAAACAAAATTTTTAAATACAACATTGTAATATAATTATAAACAAATAAAATACAATAGATATAATTTATTTACTCCTAATTATTACTTGTTAGTATATATATTTGGATAGAAAGAATTTATCATCTTACTAATATTTGAAAATCCCACATCCACAAAGATGTTAAGAGCAAACTCATATGAGAATGAGATTTTTATGTTAAAAAATCTTGGAAGGAGAAAAAATATGAGGCTCTAATTGAAATGTTTTTAAAAGTGAAAGCTATATATTACAAAAGATGATTTTGTTTATAAACGATGACTATATTGTCATAGGCATGAACTCTGAAGTATGTTTTCCATGATGGAAGTAAGAGCTTTTAGGAGATGACGAAAGATTGCCTCAGATCACTTTTCATATGTCAATAGAGACAAATGACTTAAATTTTATTTGGGACAACTTTCTTACTGCTTCATGAAATAGTTTTTTTGGACAAATTTTTTAATTTTTGTACTAAAAGTCTATTTTAAAAAGCAGCAAGAAAGCCGTCCCAAACGAAATCTTATTTGGAATGACTGCAACATTGTATAAAGGTCGTTATGAAGTTATCGTAGAGAAAATAATTCAGCTAGTATAATTGCAGAAAGCAACTTTCCGAAACATAAATTTTTGAAAAACAATTAGAAAATTATGATTGTTATTTTAAAACAAAGCAGCTAGAAAATTAATCCAAACAAATCATAAGTGACCAAAAAGACAAACATTGGAAGGCATGAGAGGAGTTGTTTGGAAATTTCAAACACCTTATAATGATTGATGATTTGCTCAAAATTTTTCCTTGTAGGAGGGGGAGATTGATAAGCATCCACGCTTTTTTTTTTGGGACATTTAGGTCATTTAAGGCAAAGTCATACACACAACGCATACACATAGACTCGAACCCTGGACCTCTTAGTTGGAAGTCTAAGCTCTCAACCAATAAGCCAAGGAGAGTTGTGTGCATCCACGCTTTGATGGTAATTTTAAATTTTTGTACTTTAATATAATATTTTATAAAGCGAAAGCAAATTAAAAGCCATCTCAAACGGGCAATACTTTCTTAAAATTTAAACACGCACGACAGAATCTCTTTCAGGTGGGCCCAAAGAAAACAGTGCCTTCCTTTTCTCCCGTTCAAAACCCACAGCAAAGACGTGAAAGAGCAAGACCGAGGCCGAGAGAGAGAGAGCAATGAGCAAATCCCCTGGCCAATTGCCGCTTAGGCAAGAGAACGACGGTTCCCCGCCGCTGCAATCAGCGGCTGTGGCGGCGGCCGCGGCGGCCGCGGCGGCGGCTATTGCTTCTCGAGGTCCTCTGCAGAAGACCAGCTCCAAAGTAAAAGAAGTGCACTCGACGAAAGCGTTTGGGTTCCCTCTCCGTTCTCTCATACGCGATCCAGATGAGCAGATTCCGCCGCCTCCAATTAGCGAATTAAGTGAAGCACCGGCGGTTAATTCCCCTGATGGGTTGCCGAAGGAGAACTCCCTCGACTCCCCACTCCGATCCCCTGTGCGACGATTGGAGAACCAAGCTCCCTTGCCTATTCCCCAAACGAATAAAGAAACACCGTTCCTGGCTTCGCCTTTCCGATCCCTGATGCGGGGAGCGGACAGCAAGTCCTCTACTTCTTCGCAGCAGCCATTATCAACTCATAACGAGAACTCATCGAGATCACCTGCAGGAGATGGGACGGTCGAGAACGCTGGAAGCCCGATGTTGCAGACGGGAAGATCGACTGAAAAACCGTTCACGATGGACAGGATGGCAGCACCGCCAGCGACTATGTCGGCGAAGGTCGGCCGCGGTGTAGTGAATGGGATGCGCGTGGAATCGGGAGTCCTACGATGGCCGGCGATGAAGAAGGCCGAATTGGGGCTCAGGATTTTGGAGGTGGTTCTCTGTCTGATCTCCTTCTCGGTGATGGCGGCCGATAAGACAACCGGTTGGGCCGGTGACTCGTTCGACCGCTACCAGGAATTCCGGTTCGTTCCGGTTTGCAGGATTGGAACAATTTGGCCCGGGTTGATTAAATATTTTGAATTTTTTGTTATATTTTGGTTGCAGGTATTGCATTTCAATGAATGTTATCGCGTTCGTGTACTCCGTATTTCAAGTGTTCGCTCAGTTTTATCATAAGATGAAGAAGAGAAGCATCATAGACCCTCCTTTGACTTACTATTTGGATTTTTCCATGGATCAGGTAAGTGCAAATTTTGTGTTTGAAAGAGCAATTAATATTTGTAAACTATTAAAATTATGGAGCCTAATTTTTTAATGATAAAATCTTTATAAGTTATTTTTGAATCTCTTTTTTTTTTTTAATTATTGAGAATCTTTTACTAATTTATTTTTATGGGCTATGAGAATATTTTAAAGATCTTGTATTAATGTAAAGATTTTAATGAGATAATTTCTTAACTTTGAGATATCTTGTGAGATTTTATAATATCTTATGAGATTTTTTAGAAATTTCTCTATATTCAAACTCATTAATTAAAAAAATTATTTTAAGAAATAGAAGAAAATCATTCAAAACGAAATCTGAATGCATCTAATCCCTTCTAGCTCCATAATGACAGAAGCCTGGTGCACACTACACATTCTTTCTCTACATTGAGATTGTGGTGATAATTATTTTCATGGTTAATTTGTTATAAGTAGTGTAAAGCTATTAAGGCTTCATTTGGGACGGCTTTTTTATAAGTAAGTTTTTAGTACAAAAATTAAAATTTTTGTACTAAAAACTTACTTTAAGAAGCAATAAGAAAACCGTCCCAAACGAAGCTTAACATATAATTGTTTCACTACATAACAAATCTATGTTATTGCGGAATAACTTAACATGATTCCAGGGACTCATGGTTTCTCTACAAAGCTCTTCGTTCCAATATGAGGTTTCATTTGGGACTGCTTATTAAAGCAGCTTTTTAGTATAAAAATTTTAATTTTGCTACTAAAAAGCTATGTTAAAAAGCAATAAAAAAACTGTCCCAAACAAAACTCGAATCTTCTATATTGTGTGATCATACAGCTGAAGCTTTTGCAAATTTCAGGTTTTGGCTTACCTCCTGATGTCTGCGTCATCGTCGGCAGCTGCTCGCAATGACGATTGGATCTCCATGTTTGGGAACGATAAATTCACAGACATGATCAATGGCTCCATCGCAATGTCTTTCCTTGCTTTCTTGGCATTTGCTATGAGCTCTATAATTTCAGCTGACAAGCTCTTCAGTTGGAAGCCCTGAAAGCACAGGAGTGCCTATGCTTCGCTTTAACAGTATGTTGTAAATTTCATATACGTGTTTATATATTTTTTTTCTTGTTTGATAAATTCACATTCCCATAATGGAAGGGAAATTATTATCAGGGAGTGACTTCATTACTTGTAATATTGTAGCTGTGCTTCTATTTTGCCATTGCCATTTCTTAGCAGGTATTGCTAAGCAACAGAGTTATTTAGGCTGGCAATATAGATTTGTTTAATTATTTTGCAAGATGAATAAAATATAAGCATAAGTTGGAAGGCCACTTTGTATATACCACATAATTTATTTGTACTGCAGCAAGATAATTGAAAAGCTATAGATGTACTGCAGCAAGATAATGGAAAAGCTATAGATGGCAATTAAAAGTTTCGTTTGGGACAGATTTCTTACTGTTTTTTAAAGTAGTTTTTTAGTATAAAAATTTTATTTGTACTAGAAAGCTGCTCTAAGAAGCAGGAAGAAAGCCTTTTCAAACTAAGCAAAAGTTAGCTGATATGTTATGACAAATGGAGGGAGGAATGCACTAAGGATTTCTCAATCAAAGGACCCTCCTTGCTAGCAGCAATAGAACTGCAGAAATGGCACTGAATGCTGCTATTTTTGAAATGAATTCATGTCTTTCAATCTTTAGGAATATTTATTCTACTTCATTGAGATGATATTTACACAGGAGCAGCTATTTTTCTTTTGCAGTTTTCTGTCTGTAATAATCTAAAATGGGTGCAATAGGAGTGATTGTAAACATATTTAGTTCTTTTTAAGAAAGAGAAACTTGGGCTGGAAGGGTTTCTAAAATCTTTGGATTTATTTTGAGATTAGTATAATATAATATTTTATTGATTATTTATATATTACACTCATCTCAAAATTTTTTTATAAATTTTAAAACTCAATCCTACTTAAGTGTGGTTAGAATAATATGACCCTATACTCACCCTTTTCAAGTCCTACAATCATGGGCCTAAAAAAAAAATATTTAGAGGGGATATTTTATAATATTTTGGGCATTTTGGGAATTTCGCCCCCCCGAAAAATCTTTTTAGCCATAATTTCATCCATTATAAACGTCTTTACCCAACCCCAAAAAAAATTTTTTTGCCCACCCTGAAAAAAGAAGCTGGATCTGCCGCTGCCTACAATCCTTCTCTGTCATATTTATCATTCTCCAAAGAAAATCAACATCTAGCTATCTGATTACAAAATCTCAATTGCCATTCATAAATTACAAACGATATTGTATTGAACTGAAATTATACAAAGCAAATAATGAAATATGAAAAAGAATGAACTTGGGCCTGGGAAGGGGGGTTACCTGAATTCAAATTCTGGTTATTCTTTGTGTCAGAATCCAACTTGCATGAAGAAACTCCCATTGTAGAAAGTGAATTACACATCTTAACATGCCAAGTAAAATGTTAGCGAGAAATTAATACTTAAATCATGTTATTCCTTTTCCCTTTAGCAGATTGAGCAACTTGCAGAAATGGCAAGTCAAATGCTTCAGGAAGACACTCTCATAATGGCATCTGGATCTGCTTCAACCTGCTGAACCAAATTGAATGAAGAATCACATGAAACAGATCATACTTCTCAGGCTTAGCATGCCATAGAAAATGCTTCTGCACCCTCTTAACACATTCCTGCATTTTGAGATACCTTTTGAGAGGGATTTCCAATAATATTTTCTTTAAATCTGCTATGTCTTTCTCTGCTATGACCACTGAGAAGGTGCTCCAGTTCAGAACTTCTTCAAATGGAAGCACAAAATTGTCTGCAATGATCACAGGGACACACTCATAATAAATAGCCTCCACTATCCTTGGACTGTTTACTTCATATCCCATTGGACAGATACAGAATCTGCTTGACTTCATATGCTCAACATAAGACATGTTTCTGGAGACCCGTCTGGGTAGCCGGCGGAAGATCCTTATATCTCCTTCGGTGTCGTTTCCCCAGAGCTTCTCAAGTGTCGGTCGCACTCTGCCGTGCATCAAGCCAGCATAGAAGGCCAGAATAGGCCGTTGGGAGAGTCTTTTCCCACCAATGTATTTGAGAGGTCTCTTTGGTTCTTTGATGGTTGTTTCTGGGAGAGAAACATCCTTACCGCGAATGAAGATTCCTTCCGAAGTGTCTGCATTGCACAAGGCTTTGATGGTGTTCTTGCGAAGTTCAGTGTGGGATGTTGTGCTATATGGGCCCTAAAGGACATTGAATGGAGATATTTAAATGTTTAAAAATCTGTAATTTACTGAAACTAACATGAGTGAGAGAGAAGAATAATGATAAAAAAATAACAAGAGCTATATTGATTTATTTACATGTTAAATTCAAAAGGGTGGTATTGGTGTCTATGATTTTAGTTAGATTGCAGTATAATGATGCCTATTCTGGTTTTTTATCTTTAGTTTTGGGGATAGAATGGATGAATTTTTGTATGCCTTGCCTATTCATAAATTAATTAACTTTATGCTAAGCTTGATTTATAATCTAATACTAATAAACTTTTAATCAGCTTACTTAAGTCCCAACCAAAAGAAAGCACCTGAGCTTGAGCTTAAGCTTAGGTAGGGCTACGTTTAGCTCAAGTCGGGCTAGCTCAAGAAAACTTCCCAAAAAATTGGTTTAACATTTAAGCGTAAGCTAAGTCGGCCTTAAGCAAGAACCAAACAGCTCCTAAAGGCCAACATCATAGAATCTAAGAAGTTAGATACATTCTTGAAAAAATCTAAATTTCGTTTGGGACAACTTTCTTACTGTATTCTAGAAATTTGTATACTAAAAAATTATTTTAAAAAACAGTAAGAAAGTCATCCCAAACAAAACCCAACTCTGACAGAATTGCAACAAAAATAGAGAATAGGGTCTCAAAAAAACCAACACATTTAATGGGGAAAATTTATATTAGGAAATCCTAATATTTTTTGTTTAAGAATGGGATTATTTTGTTTAACATATGTCGTTGAATTCACATCTCACACATCATTTCACAACACAAACAATTAAATAATATAATCAAACTATTAAACTATAAGACAAATTCAACTAAATTATTAGATATTCAGAAGCACAATCATTACCAAAAAAATTATCAAATTGTCTAATAGTTTAGTTGTATTGAAGAATATCAAGTGAGTTATAATTTTAATAGTTCAGAAAGCTGAAATTATGTTAAGACAAGAAGATAAAGTAAGAAGCATACCCAATCATGGCAAGCTACTAAAAAATGATCAGATCCTCTTGTGCGATTCCAGAAAGGGTATTTAGAAGAGATGTTGTTCACATAGTCCCTCAAAAAGATTGCTAATGGCTTTATATTATGAGACCCGGGTGTATAAACAGCATCCCTTAATCTGCGTGAACTGTAAGGCAGGTAGAACAGGTGAGCCTTTTTTGGATCTTTGACAGCAAATTGTCGACTCTCCTCCATTAATTTCATAAACCATCCTTCAGAAGCGTATATACCTTGAAGTTCTGGCGTATGAAAAATGGGCCTTGATCCATCTGGGTAGATGTATACTTTCAGTATTTTCTCCATGAGTTCATAGCTCCTGGAAACATAGAATTTGAGAATTTAAGCAGTTTGGTTCTAAAACGATGTTGTACATAAATTTGCTGAGTACTATCTAATTTCCACCTTTACAATTCTTTCTAAAATGAATTTGGTTTGTAAAATATTACAAAGGATTCTGAATTCATTTTAAATTAAATTTTTTTTTAGTTTAGTTACTCAAAATTGCACCAGCCACCAAAAATAGTTCAATTTCTTCTTTTTCAAGAAATAGAAACAAAGAACTAAGAAATCAACATATCCAACTAAGAGAAACAAAAAATTTCAACAGTAACAGTAGAAATTAATTTGAGAGCAACATAACAGAAAGCAGTAACTCACTGTCAGTTCACTAATGGCTCGTGAAGGTTACTGATTAATTAAATAGCGGACATCTTTTCCAAACAAAGCGTGAGGAAATTAAAATAGTTTTACCTTTTGAAAACCGATAGATTCCAGAAAACAGGAGCGTAAAGGTCGGGATCATCAACAAGAAGAGGAGCATGCTCAATCTCTCTCTTTGCATACAGAAGCGCCTCATCAGGTGGCAGGGCCCAAAAAGGTACCTGCAAAACCCATTAGAACTTCAAACAATCCTCAAAGAAAAGAAAAAACCATAAATCTCAAGAAAAAAAGGAAAGTTAAGAGGTAATAGATAGTTTAAGAGTGTTTATGAATATTGCATTTCTATAAATAATCTTCACTTTGAGATATAAGGCGTCAAGCAAAATGTGAAACCCTTGGAGCTTTGGCTCATCTCCCTTCTTCCCCATATACCAGGAGTTGTGGGCACTCTTTAATTTCAGAAGGCCTTCTCCTCCAACTCTTAGGAGCCTTAGGCAAGCTACAATTGCCAAGTTATTCCCTTTAATGCAATGCTTTTTATTATTTTTCTATGATTTCTGAGTTTGGTTCATTACAATGGTGCTCTCATTGAGCGTCCCATCAATACTCCATCATCTTTTTCATGGATTTCCTCTTTGACTCATCCATTCACATAAGATCCACCATAAACTCTTCAGAATCCCACCATATCGCTATCAATCAACCTAATCATGACAAATCCACAAAATCCGCCCACCTCGATGCAACATTATCAATTTCTCAATTCAACATACTCTACAGTCTTGTCGCCTCTAGCTCTTCTTAGACATCACCTCCATCATTAGCTCTCCGCAAAATCTACTCATGACATACAAAATCATGTTCAAATTCACACCGATCTCTCTTTAATCCTCTTCCAATGCCTTATTGATGAGTGTAAAAAATTTTATGCTTTATATGTTAAATTGTCAGTGAAACCATGTTATTTTAGTTGTGTTGTGGACGAAAAATACAAGAAAGAAATGAAATTACAAGTATAATACAACGCCACGATGTCGGACACTACCGCCGCGGCGCCATCATTGACACTGCCAAAGCCCCAAATATGGACATGGCGGCGCTCAGTCTCTGTTTGACAGCGCCGTGGCATTGGAGTAGCGCTACAAAGCCCAATCTCTGTATGCACAGCATTGCGGTGCCAATTTTCAACGCCGTTAAGCCGAGGGGAGTGCCACATGGACGTCGCAGTGCTCAACCGTCAACAACACCGTAGCACTACAGTTGTAACCAACTAGGACACAATCTACCGGCAAAACGACACGTCTATTCATTAAACATCGGGTCCACATTAGCAAGCGCGGTAGAGGAGAAAATTCTTCAGTGTTGAGGCGCTAGTTCATTTTATGGGTGTCGCGGTGCAAGTGTCTAGAGCGTCATGGCGCTAGAGTCCGTTTTCTGTGTTTTTCTATAAATAGTCTATTTGTAACGTTGGTAGGAGAGTTCATTCACTTACTTAATTTCAGTCTTCATTGTGCTTCTCTGCAATTTACTCATGAATGACAACTAAGGGAATTAATGGAGCAGTAGATTCACTTCATAAAAATGTTTGGTCAATATTTGTGGAAGCAATTCTATAAGTTCAAGGAGTGTAGAAGATATCATTGAACCCATCCGATGATATCTTTTTTTCTGCGCTTTTTTTTTTCTTTTGTGCAATTAATAAAAATAAATTTGTTTCACTTGTTCTTCATGTTTGGCTAAATTCTCTAGTTTTAAATTAATGATGTAAATGGAATATGGAGTACTAATAAATTCTATTCATCAATTATTTAATTATGTTTTTCAATATACCAGATCTTCATTTGATGCACATAATGGCTATATGTGCAGTTAATATCAGGTGTAATGTGGAGCCTATTACTGAGTAGAATAATTGTTATAATTATAGTAGACAATATTAGTATCTGCAATAAATATTTTTCCTCGTGAGATCGATGATCTACTCTATCACTATATTATTTGATCCAGCACAGATACTTGCATATATTAAGTGAGATTTTTTATATCAAAGAAAATCTAAGAATTGATAAAGCCCTAAATAATTTTCACAATTTTTTAGGTTACTCTACCACCACCTATCTACAACGGATTTTCCCCTTCATCTTCTTGGATCTGAGCCTAGTCGCTCGTATCTCACAGATCCAAGCCAAGTCCATCAAGGTCAACCAAGATCCGCACCAGACCCACGAGATTTTCCCATCCTATGTCCAAATCTTCAACTTTTCTACCAACCTCCATCGATCCTCATCTTCAAGCAACTCATATCACCTAGATCCATATAATCTAGATCACCCTGATCCAATCCACCGATGTCATTGTTCACAAACATATGTTGTTCTTCACCACCTCCAATCCATCCGATTTGGCTTGCAACGCTACAAAATAGTCTTTCACCATAATTTTCCAAACTTCCATCATAATTTCCACACAATCTCACCCAGATTAAGGGACTCACACCCATCTTCGCCTAGATCCAAATTTGCATTCATCAGATTTCGATCGATCTATATCAACCCAACTCAGCCGATGTCCGCCGTGATTTAAACACAAAATCATCTTGCCGATGCAAATATGGTCACTTAATTATCCGCCTTGCCGCTAGATCTACCTCCACATTTTGCTTGATGTCCTAATGTCTCCAAGCAAAGACTATTTATAGAAATGCAATATTCATAAAGGCTCTATTACTTAACTATAAACTACATTACCTAGTTATAATCTACCAATTACATTATTAACCCTAACATTCCCCAATCCTTCACAAAGACCTTGGAGCTTTAGCTCATCTCCCCCACCCCCACAGCTACCAGTAGCCTTAGACAAGTTACAATCACCTAGTTATCTCCTTTAATGCAATACTTTTATTAATTTTCTATGATTTCTGAGTTTGGTTCGTAACCGGTGCGCATTTACATTCCGACCACCAGTAAGCGGTTTAGCCTCCTTCCTATGCCTCTGATCAAGTGAATAAATCATTAAATTCGCATGGTTTTTAATATACTATTTGAAAATAAGCTCATTACCAACCTCCCGCCCGGTAAAAGCTGGAAGACCGCCATCACCAGAAATCCCTTCCTTCAAGTGTGTCTAAAATAACAAATCAAATTCTAATTAACAAAGTAATTTTTTATTTCCTTTTATAAGATATCTATATTAAGGGAATTCAAATTTAGCAATAACCTCTGTTCTGCATGAATCTGGCTTCTTGTTGCCTGTATGAATGGCCTTTACCTCATAATTCTCGTCTGTAACATTTACAGGGAAGATAAATCAAATCATCCAATCCTATTCTTTCTTAATAACTGATCCCTTAGATTCATCAGAACAGAGTAAATCAACCCCAACATAAACTCATCATAAGAAAAAAACAGAACTTTTGGCAATGATTCATCCCAAATAAAAATAATAATAATAAAACAAAAACGGAAAGAAAGTTTCTGTACCAACTTTAGAATTCACAATCAAAGCGGAATTCCTTGAATCGAGAGAGAAAACAATAGAATCACCGTGGGATGAATTAGTCACGGCGAAGGTTGAAGAGGGGGTTATAACCGAGACGAAGGATTTGGGAAGAGGAGGAAGCGTATTGTTGAGAAAACCGATGAGGGCGGTTGCGATTAGAGCGACGATGAGGATTAGCCGACATGAGTTTCTAGCGGGGCAGCGGCCGCGATGCATGAGACTAGCGCAGGGAGCGGCACCGACCGGCCGGTGGGGAACGGGCATGGCAGGCGGAGGTAACGATGCCGGAGGGTAAGATGAGAAGATTGAAAACTCGTTGAAGAAAATTGTAGCAGATCAATAGCGAGGAGGAGAGCGCGAGGAGCCACCATTACCACCTGTACCATCGCGCCCTGCTGTTTTCGGTCGAGAAGGAATGACGTCGTTATTTATTTGTCGTTCCTTTTGGCTTTTAAAGTACTATTATTTTTAGGGGTGTAAATTTGGGTCAACGGATCGGATTTGGATTGAACTTAGAACTGATCCGATATTATTAGGGTTAACCCGAACTTGATCCAGTTTTAAAAACAGGTCAACTTTTCGGTCCCGAATCTGACCCGATTCGGGTCCGGGTCAACCCGACCCGACACGAATGACCCGGGGTTGACCCATAATTGCTAGTTTTCGTGTCAATTTTTGATTTTCGAGTAAAAAATGAGTCAATCTAAGATTTTTGTGTCAATTTCGGGTCAGTTTCGGATTGCTGGGTCAACACGAACCAGATTCGGTTTTTAAAACGAGTTGATTTATTGAACTCGAACCCAACCCATACGGATCCGGGTTGACCCTAACCCGAATTTTTCGGGTCGGGTTCAGGTCGGATTTCGTTATAGAGCACACAAATATATCCCAAAAACTATAAAAGCCCATATGATGTTATTATTTGCATCATTTTCATTGAACACCAACTCGACTGTCTCTAATTGGCTCTTAGTCAATCGTGAGATCCAGTCGTGGTTCATATGGTTATCACATCTCATTACATGCTGTGTCGCATAGCCTCATATTCTGAATTAGAGTTTCGCTCGTTGCATAATATTAATCATTGTGTATAGTTGCACATGTAGCAAGAAAGACGTTGAGATCAAGAAAATTTTGAAGAAAGTTCAGCACGCGAACTTTCATTCATAAAAATTTCACTTGCGTGATAAGTTGAGATCAACGTATCATTTTGTGACAAGAATTGTGCAAGCGTGTTCATATCGTTGGGCAAATTATTGCGTCCGGTCACCTGACATCCAAACAACCAATTCAGATGCGCCACGTCACCCAAATACATTGGGCCCCCGATATATTTTGCTGATGTGGCGCGTCTGGATTGGTGTCCAGACGAATTCGGACACCGGACGCAATAATTTGCCCATATCGTTGAGACCGTTCGAATAAGCTCGTCCGTATCCAAATTGGACGTCATTTGATGGGCGAATTATTGCGTCCGGTCACCTGACGTCCGGACAACCAATCTGGATGCGCCACGTCACACAAATACACTGGGCCCCGGTATATTTTGCTGACGTGGCGGGTCTGGATTGGTGTCCGGACGAATCCGGACACCAGAAGCAATAATTTGCCCATTTGATGAGCGTCAAGCCCTCTTATAGAAAAAAATTTTGCTTACATAAAATTTTGTGATTGTCATATTATTTTTACGAATTGATCTGTGCAATCATGTTCAGATGATGCATGGGCATATTAGAGCACACAAATATAACATAATTATATCTTTGTTTATACTTGTACTTGCTAATGAGGTGTAAGCTTATGATTGACTCTATTGTTGTTGAGCCGTACTTCCTAGGTCTATATAATAGTATGGTACATTGTTGTGTAAGATACTCTGGTAGACAATAATAGGAAGATAAAACAAAGTAGAATGCAGAATAATATCCAATGTATCTTACACAGCAATGTACCATCATATTATATAGATCTAGGAAGTATGGCTCAAGAACAAGAGAGCCAATCATAAGCTTACACCTCATTAGCAAGTACAAATATAAGATATAATTATGTTATATCTATGTGCTATAATATAGATTTTTCCCTCCTAAAAAAATATTTTTGCCTTAATTTTGATTATAGTGGATCTTCTTTCTATTAAGTTTATTTTAAGAAGAGTTTATACATAATTAATCAATTAACTTCCATATAACTTAGTGAGCATAAAATTTTCCTCTACTTTCACCTAAAACTAATGTGCTAAATAATTGGAGTTTTAGTCAACTCCAATTATTCTGGATGGCTATAACAAATGAATGTCTGATGTTATATATTGAGTAATAAATATTTGATTTTGTTCTTAATGAAGTTAATATGAGCATTATAAAAAAAATGCAAAGTTTGTAATTATTTTTTAATTCATACAAATAAAAAATTTTACTTAGAATTTTAGTTTATATATATTTTTACTTAGAAATATCTAAATTCATAAAGAAAATTTTTAGCCATCATAACTTCAAATTTATTGAATTCATTTAATCAATGCTAATAACATAATGTTGAGATTCACTATTGTTGCGTCCAGGAGTATTCACGGCAGTAGAGAAATATAAAATTTATCGTCTTAGCGTTGTACGGAAATCCAGCACGCAATCAGATAAGAGAGATGGTCTAGCATTTATGAGACACCAAGATTTTTATGTGGAAAACCCCTGAAAAGGGGGGAAAATCAAGAGGCCTAGCCCAGTTTGAATGAATCCACTAGTATTGCGGTCGATTACAAATGAGGTCTTTCCTTGGGAGAAGGCCTTAGCTTGATGTACATTTTATATAATACATTACATGATATGAATACAGAGAATCACTAATGACATGTTCGTTTGTTCTGGAGGACCGTAGTCTGCGGACGACGGAGGTCGGAAGGCTTGTAGTCGGTGGGTGACGTAAGTCAGGAGGAGCGTAGTCGGCTGGCGACGGAGGTCGGAAGGACTGTAGTCGGCAGGCGACGTAAGTCAGGAAGACTGTAGTCGGCGGGCGATAGAGGTCGGAAAGATTGTAGTCGGCGAGCGACATAAGTCAGGAGGACCGCAGTAGGCGGGCGACAGAGGTCGGAAAGACTGTAGTCAGCGGGCGACATAAGTCAGGAGGACTGTAGTCGGCGGGCGACGGAGGTCGGAAAGACTGTAGTCGGTGGGCGACGTAAGTCAGAAGGACCGTAGTGGGCGGGCGACATAAGTCATGAGGATCATAGTCAGCTGGCGACGGAGGTAAGAAGGACAGTTGCCTTGCGAGGGAGGCTGGAAGACTGTGTTTGACGATGAAGGTCAGAAGGACGACGTCAGGTAGAAGTCCAACAATGGAAAGAAATTCATATTCGGATAAATATCCAGCGAAAGTCCGATAACCAGTAGAAGTCCGGCATCGGGTAAAACTTGGCGAAGAGTGAAGGTCAAGTGTCGGGTAGAAGTCCGACGTCTGTTGGTGGACGAGGAGAACTCCAGCATCTCTTGGGCGGAATTTCGGCGTCAGGAGGGAACTTTGTCGTTAATTGAGAAGAATTTCGGCATCCCATGAAAGTTGGGTAGAATTCTGGCGTTCTCCTGAATATCTGGCATAGTTTCGGCGTATTCAGGCGGCGGGAAGAACTCCAGCGGTGGTAGAGGAGGAGAGGATTCTCCTTTTCCCCTTTCTCTTCTTCTTCCCTTCTTCTTCTCTCTCTTCACTTCCCTCCCTTTTGTGAAGAATGAGGGCTCTATTTATAATTTTTTCTAGGATGACATAGCTCGTAAATAGTCTTGAGATCAGGGGTGAATTGGGAGTGGTTTGAATGGACGACCGATATCGAATCTTTTGATCATGCACCGTTCGTTGGACATTTGAAGGACTTAATGATGTCGGAATTTGGTGATCTTTGGCTAGTTGGATTCTTCTCGTCGATCCGTTCGATTCGAGTATAAGCTTGTTAAAATCGGAGTCAGTTTGGCAACTCAAATTGTGGTTTGAACCTCCCAACAGTGCTTCGGGCCCTTGATTCGGACCCACTTGGGCTCGGATTGGGTTGAATTTGGTGTCGTTGGGTTCGTATTTCCGAGACGCTCAGTTTGACTATAAGCTCGCTGAAATCGGAGTTCAGGTGCTCCCGGATTTAATTTTTGAAGTTTCCGACTAGCTTTTTGCCTAGAGATTCATGCCCGATCGAGATAATTTTTGCACGACGTATCAACTATGATCAATTTTTAAACCGTTCAATTATACCAAAAAAAATCAAATTATTCCCTCTTTGTGTAACTATGTATGTGCCAGTAGTTAAAAGAAAATAAGTAAAATACGAAGAAAAATCATTCTAAAAGGCCATAAAATTTAAGCGTGAGAGTAAATCATTAATTGGGGCAATTTTTGTTGTTTTCTAAAACATTTTTTAATAAAAAAAAATTGAATTAAAAATATTTACACTAAAAAATTTCTTTAAAAGAAGTAAGAAAATTATCTCAAATATAATCAACTGTTTTCTAAAACAAAATTGATTGAAAACAACAACAAAAATCAGTGGTCAAAAGCAGTTCCAAACAATCAAGAAAAATTATTTGTGTGGAGTCCGAACGAGAAGCTGCATTTGCAGGCTCGGCATATAATAATCTTCCCAAACTAAGCCTTAGTAGGATTAATTATTCTGAGCAGACACCGAATGTCGTCCGGCCGGAGATCAGAATGTGTCACGTCACCTCTTGCTCGATTCCGCCGCTCGGTATCACTCGGTACCATGGCTCGATACTGTTTACGTGACTGAATCTGATTGGTCTCTGGATAACTTTCTGCATCCACATAGAATAATTTCTCCTGGGTAGGG